TCATTCATTCATTCATTCATTCATTCATTCATTCATTCATTCATTCATTCATTCATTCATTCATTCATTCATTCATTCATTCATTCATTCATTCATTTATTTGCATTTCTCGGCCAATAATACTTAGAAGTAGATTAGTACAACAAACTGTAAGCTTATTTGGTTTGATTTTGTCAGTGCTGAGGGTATTGCTGAGTGTATTCAGTGGATGTGCTCTGATGTGGTTCTCTCCTTGAACACTCTCCTCATATTACTGTAGACACTATGTTTTAGCAAAGTATGTTGTCTGTCATGCTTATTGTCTTTACACTACAACTCCAGAACATCATTTTTCCAGCTGAGGTCAAGTGAGATTCCAGACTGCCAGAGTGTGTTTTGTTGGAGGGTGCTCTGGTTTGATTTGCTCCTTCTTTCCTATCAAACATCTATCGCCTTTATCTCCCCTCCTTCTGTTTTGTGTTTGTTACTCTCTTGTAACACCTCTGATCTTCGGCACTTATATGATGTATTTTTGTATGTCTGTCTATGAGCAAGTCAAGGATTGTTATGTTAGAAATGTTCATAAGATTTTGATGGTTAACTCTTTATTTTTCCCCTTTTCCCTCTGTCTCCCATACAGTCTACGGCTGAGATCTCTACTGAACCACCGCCTGTATAAGATCAAGAAGAACGAAGTGAGCAAGTACAAGAAAGCTATTGAGTCTGACCAAAACAAGGTGAGGCTGGTGACAAAAGTGGGGGGGGGGTTGTTGTTGGGTTGTTTTGTTGTTGTTGTTAGTTGGTTTTTTTTTTAGTTTTTAAATTTTTTTTTTTTAAAGTTCTTTTTCACATCGTAAGATGGTAATAGGCTCCAAAGCAAGGTGAGGTTTGTAATGAAAGGGTTTTTTGTCCCTTTGCTTTTCATATCGTAAGCAAGTAATGGGCGCCATCCTTCCTGTTCATTGGACTCTTGTTCATAAATGAGATGTGCATACAGGACCTTTATCAATTGTTCTGTGATAGTATGAATGTCTGTTTATGTTAGTGTTGATCTAGAGTATAAGAATGTATGCTCATGCACATGTATTTTGTGTTATCACACACAAACATGCAAGCACTCATGTCATGCTCATACAGACATGCACGCCTAAGTGTTCGAATAAACATAATCATGCATACATACTCACACTCTTTCCCACACAAATACACACTCACATGCCAACTCAAACACTGTACGGCACATATGTATAGATAAGCTCTCAAGCTCTCTCTCTCTCTCTCTCTCTCTCTCTCTCTCTCTCTCTCTCTCTCTCTCTCTCTCTCTCTCTCT